CCTGCATTTTCAAAAGTCACTGTATTCCGGCCCACATGGAAGAGAAAGGAAATGCACAAAACATCGGTAAGATTTGCGCTGCAGCACAATGAACTCCCTCCCTGGTGTCCTTATCACTAGGGACACCTGCACCCAGCACACACAGCTCCCTCTGGTGTCTTTATATGTATAAGGAAACTTGTCATTTCCTCTATCATATTTGTAGTCTATCTGCTGTAGCACGCCCACAGCTTCTGACCATTCCTTCTAGCCAGGGGCCAAACAAGAAATCACGGGGCCACATAGCAGATTTTGCATGGGGCCCCCGTGATTTTTAGTTACGCCCCTTGCAGAGCCCACCTGAGAACCCAAACAGCCCACCTTAGAGTGACCCTGCATAGTCCACTATAGACTCTCTATGGTGGGCTCTGCAGGGTGTCAAGGTGGGCTGGTCACACCCCTGCACACCTCTTACCTGTCAGCCCCGATCCGCTGTCAGCTTCCTCCTCCGCAGCAGCCGGGCCCCGTCTCCTCCTCCGCTGCTGACACCGGGCCCCGGCCTCCTCCACCGCAGCTGCTGGCTGTCACTGACTCAGCAGCGGCTTTGAGGAGGAACGCGCCGCTGCACAGATCACTGACAGGTTGTCAGTGATCTTTGAACAGCGGCGCGTTCCTCCTCACAGCCGCCAGTGACAGCCAGCAGCCTGCGATGCCATCCGTGAGATTGTAGTCCATCCGTTGATGGGGATCTATTGCAGAGACGTAGCCAACAGAGACAGGACTTTGGCACATTTCTTGTAGAATCAGCTGGTTGCCTGAACACTGGCCCTGATATCCTCCTTTAGGGTGGCTCCTCTCCCTTGCAGGGTCCTATGGAGCCACCCTTGCTTGCGTGCCTCGTGTGAGTACTAGAGCCGAATGTTCGCTGTGTGCTACTACACTGTGTGCGACCAGCGGTGTATTTAACTTTGGTGCTGCCCTAGGCAAGGCAGCAACGCCCCCCCGGACTGACCCTGCGCTTCTCTCCGACAGCACCCCGAACTGACTCGCCCCCCGGACTGACTCGCCGCTTCGCGGACGATAGCAAACCCCCCCACTCAGCGAATCTGCCGCTCCAGGCAAACGCCTTGTTTGCCTCGCGGCAGATACGCCCCTGTGTGCGACCCCACAAACACGCAAAGCCTAGGACGGCAAACCACTTCCCTGCACCCTAACTCCAAGCACATAGATGGAAAGCTGCTGGAGACCGCTGACCTGATACTCAGTGTGTGCACTCCGCGACAGGAAGTTCAGGAAAGCTGAACTGAGGGATCTGGAGCCGGTGGAGGTGAATGGTAAATTATGTGTTTGTGCGCACTTTTACAGCAAATGATGTATGGGGAAATGTTTGCCAGGCTGCTTAGGATGGATTCATTAAAAAAAATAATTACTACTGCAAAGGTACAGATATTTTTTTAGGGAAAGCTGACAACTTCCAATCTGAACTCACCTTTCCATTTATTGCACCGATGAAAGAATTGACTTTGCGCTCGCTTGGCACTCACTTTGCATTGGTGGTAACAGACCACAGAAAACCATGCGGACTTGTGCTGTAAGATGCAGCTAATGCAAATTCTTAGTTGTTTCAATATTTTGTTTTCTCCTTCTGTTCCTCAAATCTCCGCAAACGTCTATCCGATGCTCTCGCTGCGGACCGCTCCGCCCACAACTGTCAATCAACTCGGAGGTCGGCGCGCATGCGCAGTACGTTTCTCCCGCTTCCAGCGCTTGCACGCCTACTCCGCTGTAGGGGAAGGACTACCTGCGCTTAGGTGACTCCCATCCAGGAAGAGGAGAACTTGTCCGACTTGTACCGAGAACTTCGTCTTATAAAGGTAAATACTGCGAATTATTGTACGATCACAGAGGGGGCTGGATGTGCAGTATGTCTCCATAATTTGCTATATACCGTGATGTTATATACTACCTACAGTGTAGTATACTGGCAGGGAAGGACTACCTGCGCTTAGGTGACTCCCATCCAGGAAGAGGAGAACTTGTCCGACTTGTACCGAGAACTTCGTCTTATAAAGGTAAATACTGCGAATTATTGTACGATCACAGAGGGGGCTGGATGTGCAGTATGTCTCCATAATTTGCTATATACCGTGATGTTATATACTACCTACAGTGTAGTATACTGGCAGTGTGTGTATATATATATATATATATATCAGATCTATAGGGACTGCTCACTATACTGGCAGTGTGATCTATATGTATATATATATATATCAGATCTATAGGGACTGATCACTATGCTGGCCGTGTATATATATATATATCAGATCTATAGGGACTGATCACTATGCTGGCCGTGTATATATATATATATCAGATCTATAGGGACTGATCACTATGCTGGCCGTGTATATATATATATATCAGATCTATAGGGACTGATCACTATGCTGGCCGTGTATATATATATATATCAGATCTATAGGGACTGATCACTATGCTGGCCGTGTATATATATATATATCAGATCTATAGGGACTGATCACTATGCTGGCCGTGTATATATATATATATCAGATCTATAGGGACTGATCACTATGCTGGCCGTGTATATATATATATATCAGATCTATAGGGACTGATCACTATGCTGGCCGTGTATATATATATATATCAGATCTATAGGGACTGATCACTATGCTGGCCGTGTATATATATATATATCAGATCTATAGGGACTGATCACTATGCTGGCCGTGTATATATATATATATCAGATCTATAGGGACTGATCACTATGCTGGCCGTGTATATATATATATATCAGATCTATAGGGACTGATCACTATGCTGGCCGTGTATATATATATATATCAGATCTATAGGGACTGATCACTATGCTGGCCGTGTATATATATATATATCAGATCTATAGGGACTGATCACTATGCTGGCCGTGTATATATATATATATCAGATCTATAGGGACTGATCACTATGCTGGCCGTGTATATATATATATATCAGATCTATAGGGACTGATCACTATGCTGGCCGTGTATATATATATATATCAGATCTATAGGGACTGATCACTATGCTGGCCGTGTATATATATATATATCAGATCTATAGGGACTGATCACTATACTGGCAGTGTATATATATCAGATCTATAGGAGGTGATCACTATACTGGCAGTGTATATACAGTAATACCTTGGTTTACGAGTAACTTGGTTTGAGAGTGTTTTGCAAGACAAGCAAACATTTCTGAAATGTTTTGCCTTGATATACAAGCAATGTCTTGCAAGAAGAGCAAAATTTTGTAGAAAAGCGCCTGAATAAGGCTGTAGCAGTGCGAGCGATGAGTCTGTTTAACGACAATGCAATGTCACATTGGATAGATTCCTTGTTAAGGTTTCACGAAATGAAAAAGATTCCATTGAGTCAAGAGATAGCAGTGATTCCATTAGTGATAGTGAAAGTCGTCCTACACAATAATCCTCTTCTGTCTCGTCCCCCTCACACCAGCCACGAAGGTAACCGGAAATTGGTTTATTTTCTTTATATTTTGTACAGTATTATATTACACTACAGTATTGTAATCATTTTTATATGAATATTTTTGGGTTCTGGAACGAATCATCTGAATTTCCATTATTCCCTATGGGGAAATTCGCTTTGATATACAAGCGCTTTGGATTACAAGCATGCTTCCGGAACGAATTATGCTCGTAAACCAAGGTATCACTGTATATCAGATCTATAGGGACTGATCACTATACTGGCAGTGTATATATATCAGATCTATAGGAGTTGATCACTATACTGGCAGTGTATATATATCAGATCAATATGGGGCTGATCACTATACTGGCATAGTGATCTATAGGGAGCTGGTCACTATACTAGCAATGTGATCTATAGGGAGCTGATCACTATATTGGCAGTGTGATCTATAGGGAGCTAGTCACTATACCGGAATGTTAATCTATAGGCATGCGGTCACCATGCTGGCAGTGTGATATATATATAGAGAGAGAGGGTCACTATACTGGCATGGTGATCTATAGGCATGCGGTCACTATATGGCAGTGTGAGCTTCTATAGGGTTTGGACACTATACTGGCAGTGCGTTCTTTAGGGAGCTGGTCACCATACTGGCATGGTAATCTATAGGGACGTGGTCACTATACTGGCATGGTAATCTATGGGAAGCTGGTCACTTCACTGGCAGTGTGATCACTAGGGCGATTGTCACCCTATGACATGGTTATATATAAGGGGATGGTTACTATACTGGCAGTGTGATATATGAAAAGCTGATCACTATACTGGCAAGGTGATCTATAAGGTCAGGCTTTAGGGATGGTCTGGGTCACCCATAGTCAGGCTTTGGGGATGTCTGGATCACCCATGGTCAGGCTTTGGGGATGGTCTGGGTCACCCTTAGTCATGCTTTGGGGATGGTCTAGGTCACCCATAGTCAGGCTTTGGGGATGGTCTGGGTCACCCATAGTCATGCTTTGGGGATGGTCTGGGTCACCCTTAGTCATGCTTTGGGGATGGCCTGAGTTACCCTTAGTCAGACTTTAGGGATGTCTGGGTCACCCATAGTCAGGCTTTGGAGATGGCCTGGGTCAACCATAGTCAGGCTTTGGGGATGGTCTAGGTCACCCATAGTCGGGCTTTGGGGATGGTCTGGGTCACCCATAGTCAGGCTTTGGGGATGGCCTGAGTCACCCTTAGTCAGACTTTAGGGATGTCTGGGTCACCCATAGTCAGGCTTTGGAGATGGCCTGGGTCAACCATAGTCAGGCTTTAGGGATGTTGTGGGTCTCTTGAGTCAAGGTGGATGCGCTAAGTAAACGGTCTCTAAGCAGTCATGAAACACTCTACTTATGCAGATACAAGTTTTTTGTCCAGCTTATTAAATGTATTAATAAACAGTAAATATATCTGTGTTTTATGTTTACACTTCCTAAAAATATACTTTTATTGCAATGACCTCATAGGTTATTCCATAAAATGGATGGCAATTCCAAGCCTCTCACCAGCCTTGCATGGACATCTGGCCAATCACTGTGCCCCAAAGGCCACAACTTAGTAAGTTTTTTTTTTAATGTATAAACAAAAATAAAAAGTTGCATGCATGTATATCAACTATTTTATCTGTCAAATATTTGTAAAGCAATGCATATATTCTTGAAATCTGTTCATCCTTCCTAAGCTACTGTATATGTCATCCTAGCATGAGGACAATGATAAAACTTTGCAAACATATTGTAGGCATGACTAATTCCTGCAATATGCTCTGAACCTTCCTGTAAGTTCACCCCTCTTCTTCCCACATCTAAAAGGATGCTGAGACCTCTCATGTGATTAAAGTAAGGCTAAAAAGTCATGGTTCACAGTTACTAAGGAGTCTAAAGAAAAGAAGTAGATAAATATCTGCAGAAAACTTTCCAATATCCTTGTAGAGTATTCATAGTTCACCTGGAGGAGATTTGGAGTTTCATGTAAACGTTGCCTACTACAGTATGTCCTATCTAATGCCCTAGAAGCAGAAAATAAAAGGCCTTATTGACCTCAGTGTGATTGTTCCGCGTACACAACATTATTGTTGCTTCTTGTATTGTGGGATGAGCTTTCAATGCCTATGGCCACTTTGAAGTGAGCTATACACAACTGGGCTTAGTCAGATGTCCTCACCTTTTAAAGTGACACTAAACTCAGGAGGTAAATCTTAAAAATGCATTCAAAGACCTGAAGTATTAACACAAATGTATCTTATTTGTGTATCACTCGGCTGTAAATCCTCAAATCATCTCTGAATTGGTGCTGACACTGTCCTTCCTTCTGGAGGGTGACTACTTTTGTTCCCCACGGTCCCTGTGTGTGTGGTAAAGTAGCCACCGATCCAAGCTCCCTCCCGGGATGGACTACAATCTCAATATAAATTAGTAAACTAAACGTGAGATTGTAGTCCATCGCGGGAGTGAGAGTGAACACTGCAAAATTGCGGTAAAAATGCAGGAAAACACAAAGCACTGCGTTCCAAATCTGGTCTGGAAAATGGTGTGAACCTGCCCCAAAGAAAACAGTTCTTGCAAGCCCGATCACACCTGGCGCTTTCAGACACTAAGCTAAAAATGGCGCCTTGGTGTTGATACATATTTTGTACTTTTGTTACATTGCATGATTTGATATTCCCACAGATCGTAGCCACCATGGAAGGAGCGTCTGCCAACTTTTTGAAGGGATTTAATCAGAAATCTGCTCTGTATCTCACTTGTAGCACAGAGCCAACATCAGAGGTATTGTTAGACTCTTAAAGCAAAACATTTCTGGCATTAGTATATTTAAAGAAGATCTCCATGAAATGTAAAAATGAACCCTTGCAGTTGGGTTACCCCTGTGCTGAAAGGGTAAACTGCTCGTTTTGGTTTAGGGGCTAAAATAAAGAAACTATACTAGGCTGAGCCTTGGTCTTGCTTTGCTGCTGGACCGGTCCCCGTAGCCTCTTCTTCCCTGGGCTGCGGTGATCTAAGGAACCGTGATGTCATCACGTCTAATGCAGCTGCTTTAGATATGAAGACGCCAAGGAACATTCCACTGCTAGAGCAGAAAGGAGAGAAGTGAGTGCTCACCGACGCAGAGCTGAGGATCAGTTGAGTATATTTTCTTTATTTTAGCCCTTGACCAAAATGAGCAGTTAAAGTGGCATTAAAGGCCTATTTCCCCCCCGATGCTGGTGTAAGGACTTGCCTTAAATGATGCCTCTTGATCCGATCATCTTCTTTCCTGTAGTTTTCAGGAGTCCCTCTAGCTCTGGTGCCAGTCTCCGATCCAGCGCGAACTCCTGTCTCTTCCTGTCCCACAGAGTCTGTGCGGGTGCACACTGCTGCATTAACTTACCCTGTGTCTCTCCCCTTCTCCCGGCCGAAGATCTTACCACGCATGCGCCCGCCTCATCATCCTTTGCGGCTGGCTGAGAATCTTCAGATCTTTGGACGGGAGCAATTGCTAAGTTTTAACCTTTTGTAAAAAAATTAAAATGTTTTTTCATATATCTACTGCTTGCTAGGAGTAGATATATGCAAAAGCTTTAATAACCCTTTAACCTTTGCCGAATCGGGGTAGTCCCACTACAAGGGTAAATTTTTTCATTTCCTGGAGTTTTTTAAAGGAACTAAACTGGCAGAAGCTGTGGCTAAAAAAGGGCAAATTATAGACATAGAAATGGGCACCAGACCACAAAGTGAGAGTCCAAAGTGCTTTTATTTATACCATCAAACAAAAATAGCCAACATGTTTAGGGGGCTACAAAAACTCCCCCTTCCACAGGGCTTAGTATTTATTTCTTGTATTTAATATGAGTATTTCTATAGTGCTGACAATTTACGCAGAGCTTTACAGAGTGCACATTTACATCAGTCCCTGCCCTAAAAGAGCTTACAATGTAAGGTTCCTATCTCACACACATACAGGGAAAATTTAGGGAGGAGCCAATTAACCTTCCAGCATGTCTTTGGAGTGTGGAAGGAAACCAGAGTACCCGGAGGAAACCCACGCAAGCACAAAGTGGACATGGAAACTCCATGCAGATAGTTTGCTGAGTAGAATGGAATAGGAACTGGACTCAAACTGGACTCAAAGAAAACTATAACCAAATTGATCTATATTTGTTGCTGAATATATTGTCCTAATTCCAATCCAAAAGAAAGTTTTGCACTGGATCAAATATACAGCCATTTAGTTATAATGAGTCCATGTAAGTCCTCATTCCATTCTTCTAAGCCCTGGGGAAGTTTAGTTGCCCTCCGTAATACTTTTTTCATGTGTGATGGTATTACCAACAATTAAACGCACTTTTTGACTCTTTCAATTTGTAGTTTGGCACCCATTTGTATGTGTATACTTTGAGTTGTTTCTGGGTACCCATTGAGGGAGACCAGTGTGTTTGAGAGCTGCCTAACCAGTGCCAGTGAGTTTGTTTAAAGATTTTCTTGGGTTTGAGCCATTGGAATAAGCATTGCAATCCCAGCACCTCTTCAATAAAGCCAGGCAGAGGGCAAGTTACTAGTCACTGGTATTGCCTGTGGACTCCCTGCAACTGATCTGTTCCCTATTACTGAATAACCATGTCCTGCTCTTCACTGTGTCTCTTTGTGGAGGTGGCCATCTTGGTGGGAACAGGGATTTGCTTCCTCATATCGGAGCCTCCAGTAAAGAGAACAGTGAACAGCACAGTAGTGACATCATCACATCTCACTCCAACTCTCTTGAAACCAAGACCAGCAATCAGAGGCCGTGGTGCGTTAGATCTCACTGAACATATACAGATATGAGGCTGAAGGCACAGTGCTTAGGCACACTCACATGCCAGGAAGTGCCCTCTTTTTTTCAGGAGGAATTCTAGACCAGTACATTTTGTTACTATGCACAATTAACGTTTTTAGTTGCGCCCAATGCAATAGCAAATCTTCACTTTTTGTTTTCAGTTCCATTTTAATACCTCCATGGGTGTCTCTGTTACTTTCTTCAGTTTCCTAATACACGATTGAATTATTTTTACAGAATTACACCCTGTTCACCAAAATAACATGTTTTTAATGTCTTACTCCCCATATCAGTGTAAAAAATGCCATGCTGCCACTAATATCATCTGTCTCCCACCACTAGCCTGAGAGCAATAATGTCATTGTAGTGGTCTGACAAGTTCACATGCTGAGGCAGACCAACAGCTCTACAATCTGAGATCATGCTGTGCCTGTGTTGATAAAGACACCTTACTAGCACAAGGGTGGCATTACTCATTTCCATCAATTGTATTTTATTTCCAGACTATAGAGCAAGTGATTACAGATGTTATGCTACTGAGCGAAAAATCCCCTTTACCGGTAGGATATGCTTTTATTGGGGAATACATTGATCCAAGTAAGTATACAGTTAGATCACGTGTTATTACACCACTTCACTATACAGGCGAAACTCGAATAATTAGAATATCGTGCAAAAGTAATTGCAGTAAGTGCTGCAAAAGGGGCCCAAACCAAGTACTGAGTACATATGCATGCTTGTACTTTTCAGAGGTCCGATATTGTTCTATGTACAATCCTTGTTTTATTGATTGCATGTAATAATCTACTTTTTTGAGGTTGTGGATTTGAGGTTCTTGGGGTTTTCATGAGCTGTAAGCCATAATCATCACAATTATGACAAATCACGGCTTGAATTATCTTGCTTTGCATGCAATGAGTCTATCTCATATATTAGTTTCACCTTTTAAGTTGCATTAGTGAAATAAATGAACTTTGCACGATATTCTAATTATTCGTGTTTCACCTGTATAATATGTATGTTTTAGCTGACTAATACAACTGGAATAACCTGCCTGCACCATGTGATCCCAGATTTCTGGATAAGCTGTTATTGATTCATAACATGAGACTACTTAGTGCTTGAATCATGTTGGGAAGCTGACTCATTTTCTGTCATACTTCTTTTTTGCACAGGCTTCATTTATTGTGTCTAGAGCCGTGTATTATCAGGAGTCTGACATTGTATTCATCCATCTAATCACTCCATGGGACCCTCTCACCTCTCTTCTGTTTGTCTAAGAATGTCCTACACCAAATTCAGCAAAGCCGTTGTACAGTTCCAGTGCTATTACTGACACCTGTGACAAATTCATTAGTTCTTAAATGCGACAGCATTACATAATGTCGCAATAGCTGCAACAAATTGATAAATAAATACTGCCGTTTTGTAGTTAAGGAAAGTGGGGGTAAATAAGACCAGTGTCTTTTTGAAGTAATTTGTGTTGAGGAGTTCCCCCCCACATTGAAGTTCCCTCTCACATTTGAGTTCCCCCTCACATTGTTGGTCTCTAGGATGCTGCTAGGCCCTAAAGCCGCCTGCGTCCTAGCAGCCAATTAGGTTGGTCGCATAGCAGCAAATGGCATCCTAGCAACCAATAAAGCTTGGCCACACAGATTAAAGCTTGGCCTCCTTGAGACCTGTGTACAAGGCAGGCTTTGCAACCAATTCACGTACATGTTTTCCCTTTTAGAGAATGTCTGCAGAATTCCAGGGATTATCTGCAAGCACCACATAGACCTTGGCATTTATACTGTGTGTGTATGTGTGTATGCATTAGTATAGCCATACCATTATAACCACCCTCCAAAATTTGAGTAGGTTCCCCTTTTGCCATTAAAACAGCCTTGACCCAACCTCTGAATGTATTCTGTAGTATCTGCCACCAAGCCGTCGGTACCAGATCATTTAAGTCATGTAAGTTGTGAGGTGAGGCCTTCATGGATTGCACTGGTTTTTCCAGCACATCCCAGAGATTCTTGATTGGATTGAGATTTGGAGACCAAGTCAGCACCTCGATCTCGTTGTGTTCCTCGTCGCATTCTTAAACCATTTTTCCAGTGTGGTCAAGAGGCCACTGCTATCAGGGAATACCATATCCATGAAGGTCAAAGAGACATCCACATGGATGGCAGGACCCAAAGTTTCCCAGCAGAACATTGCCCAAAGCATCACACTGTCTCCGCCGTCATGCCTTCTTCCCATAGTGCATCCAGGTGCCATCTCTTCTTTATGTAAACGACCCACTCACACCCAACCATCCAAATTATATAAAAGAAAACGTGGCTCCGTGGCCCAGTTTTGATGCTCACATGGGCAACCTGACCGGTCTCCTGCTACGTAGCCCTATATGCAATAAACTGCGATGCATTGTGTGTTCAGACACCTTTCTATTGGAATCATCATTAACTTTTAGCGGCCATTTGAGCTACAGTAGCTCTTCTATTGGATCGGACTACAAGGCCCGGTTTTCGCTCCGCACGTGCATCAGTGAGCCTTAGCAGCCCATGACCCTGCCGCTGATTCACCGGTTTTCCTTCCTTCGACCACTTTTGGTAGGTCGTGACCACTGAATCTTGAAACATCACACAAGAGCTGCAGTTTTGGAATTGCTCTGACCCAGTCGTCTAGCCATCACAATTTGGCCCTTGTCAAAGTCACTGACCGGTGTCTGCATGGCCCGAAAACTATCAGTGGTGGCTGCGAGGTGACACATTCTCTTCAGTTCTGTTAATGTAGAAGCTACTTAAAATATTAGGGTATGAAGCATTTGCAAGCGGTCCACTCAGGCTCGGGTTGTGTCTAGGACAGTGCCATAGGCCTTGGATGGTGGTCACCAAGGACAGGAATGACAGTGTCTTGGTGTAAAAGAATGAAGTGCTCTAACAAACACATGAAGTAGGTGCCATGTCACAGCTGGTAGCAAAAAAAGTCCATTAATGCATTCAGGTGTGTTCCAGGTAAACAAGCAAAAAGCAGAGGGTGTTGCAGCACACAGAGCCTATTTTTATAGCTCATCATCTATTGCAATAATACCTGCTGTGATTTGTATACTTTGCTCTGTACAGTTTGATGATTAATTGTTACCTCATTGCCTAATTGTTTTATGCCTCTTTTGGTTCCTGCCCAAGAGCTGAAATAAGCCCACTGACAACCTTGACAGTTATTAGCAGAGACATGCCTTGAAAGTAACTGTTTTGGGAGACAGTTAAATTGGTGGGTCCCCATTACATGCAAAATTGTGCAGAAAATGCATGTTTTTCAGGTGCTCTCATTGAAGTCTATGGGGCGAGGTTGAAGGGGCACCATTGAAAATAATGGGACTCTTCATGTTGAGCGTTTTGAGAAATATGCAACAAAAACACTCCGGCGTGAATGGGGCCTGCCAGGTTTTACTTCTATCTGGGGCTCCATTAGCCAGGTTTCCTCTTACTTACTGTTTGTGGGGCAAAGTTTTCACCAGACAGGAAGTGAGGGAAATCTCTAACGGCAACACAGGCAGTAGTAATCTCAGGTTCAGTTTAATAATTTGTATTAAGATTGTAGTTCATCATGGGAGTGAGCTTGAAGTGGTGACTACTTTCCAACATGCACCAGGACCATGGGGAACAAAAGTAGCCACCCTCCAGAAGGAAGGACAGTGTCAGCACCAATTCAGAGATTATTTGGGGATCTACAGCCGAGTGATACACAAATAAGATACATTTTTGTTAATAGGTAGGGTACTTGAATGTATTTTTAAGACTTAACTCCTGAGTTTAGTGTCACTATAAGTAGAGGAATGCGAGAATCTTCCCTGAACTTCCTGTCCAGTAGAAGCTCCACTTCCCTGAACTTCCTGTCCAGTAGAAGATCACAAGCCATAGAGCAGACTCCAGCAGCTGTCCATGTACTAGCTTAGAGAAGGAATGGGGAGGAGGGGAGTGTCTTGTTCTATTGTATCTGTGTGTTTGTGGAGACACACACAGCTTACTATCACACATGAGGATGGCTCCATAGGCAAAGGAGTCACCCTAAAACAAACATTATTGTTGTCGCTTTCCCTTTTGCTGATTTTTCACTCACTTTCTGTCTGGTAAAAGGTTGTCCTCAGGACAGGAAGCTCTCTAACTGAGCTTCGAATAGCAGTCAAACCTAACTGGGGTTCTAAACCTTACCCACTCTGTCTTAAATAAATAAATAATTGGCATTAGATACACTTCAACCAGTTTTTTCATTTGTTACACACATGTTAAAATCATGATTGTAACGATCACATGAAAGTGACACGCAGCTCTACAAGCTAGACGTAGGAGATACATCCAGAATGCTGAAGTAAAGGACCATGTGAGCAGTTACCAGGTCCAAGGACCATGTGGGCAGTTGCCAGGTCCAAGGACTATGTGAACAATTACCAGGTGCAAGGACCATGAGAGCCGTAACCAGCTCCAAGGAGCATGTGAGCAGTTACCAGGTCCAAGGACCATGTGAGCAGTTACCAGGCCCAAGGACCATGTGAGCAGTTACCAGGTCCAAGGACCATGTGAGCAGTTACCAGGTCCAAAGACCATGTGAGCAATTACCAGGTCCAAGGAGCATGTGAGCAGTTACCAGGTCCAAGGACCATGTGAGCAGTTACCAGGCCCAAGGACCATGTGAGCAGTTACCAGGTCCAAGGACCATGTGAGCAATTACCAGGTCCATGACCACGTGAGCAGTTACCAGGTCCAAGGACCATGTGAGCCGTTACCAGGTCCAAGGACCATGTGAGCAATTACCAGGTCCAAGGACCATGTGATTAGTTACTATATCTTGTTGGGTTTTGGTTTTGTCACACTTACTAATTGTTCCTGTCTCTCCAGAGATTACTGTGCCAAAGAAGAAAAGGCTGTGTATGAAGCTGACTCCCATAAACACTGCTGAATCTGCTGTCGCTGAGCTCAAGCTGACTGTGAAAAATAAGCAGCTCACTGCACCGTACAAACGTATCGGGTATGTGACAGGGACACAGGCCAACAAAGCATATATATTAATTGAAGTGTTCCCTCCCACAGCAATCACTGACACTCTACACATGTGATGTGCACTAGCAATGTTATCTTTGTTAAAAAGGAGAAGTCAGTTAAATTATTTGTCATAAACATACTGGGGGGAATTTATGAAAACTGGAGCAGACAGAATTTGGAGCAGTTGCCCATAGTAACCAATCAGCTTCTCTCTTCAGTTTGTTAAATTAAGCTTTTAAATGAAAGATAGAAGCTGATTGGTTGCCATGCACAACTGCTCCAGTTTTGATAAATTCTCCTCATTGTATTCTGTACACACATTTCACCATATTTATCCCCTTGCTGCCAGAGGTATTTTGTTTATATTTTTGTACACGCTTGTTAAAATGCACGTTTTAGGGCCGAAGATGAGTTAAAACCCCCCAAACTTTATACAATATATTTTCTGAAATCAGAGACCCTCTAAAATAAAATGGTGGCAGTTGCAATTCTTTATGTCTTACTGCATTTGCGCTATTGTTTATTAAAACTATATTTTCAGTAAAAAAAATACAATCAAATTAATCTTAGTACACACTGTCCTAATATAAAGTTGTGTGCGCCCTTGAAATGGAAAAATATAACAGTACCCAAAATTGTCCATTCGTGTGCGCAATACCCAATATGTGTGGTGTACTCACCCTATTCGTACCCATGCACTCCTGATGCTTACATTTCTATTCATGTATGTGTGTGTTGGGGTGGGAGGCTCCCCTCAGGGATCCCCCCCCGCTCCGATCCTCCAGCGATGACTGGAGAAACGGACGGGGGAGTGGGCGGGTTCAACTGGCTCTGCCTCTAGATAGGCAGAGCCAGCTGTCAATCACGCAGCTGGGTGGATCTCGACAGTAATGTCGGGACTTACCCCATAGTTCTCCTTTAAAGTAGTATTAAACTCTCAAACATTTTTGCAATCATGAATCCAGATCAAACAAATATACATTACCCAGAAAAAATATGTCTTTAAATATTTACCCAAGCACTTACAGTCATCATACAGTTTAAACAGCTGCAACTCTCAGCTCCACTTCCCTGAACTTCCTGTCCAGTAGAAGATCACAAGCCATAGAGCAGACTCCAGCAGCTGTCCATGTACTAGCTTAGAGAAGGAATGGGGAGGAGGGGAGTGTCTTGTTCTATTGTATCTGTGTGTTTGTGGAGACACACACAGCTTACTATCACACATGAGGATGGCTCCATAGGCAAAGGAGTCACCCTAAAACAAACAGGATATCAGGACCCATTGCTCAGCTGATTCTGACCAACTGATTCTGCAGGAAACAAAAAATTCTGTGTTCTTTAGCCCTGGTTCACACCTAGGCGTATTGCATATGCGCGGTTGTCGCGCGTTTTTTTTACCGCGGTTTGCGGTAAAAACATTGTGCGACAAACGCGCGTTTCCGTGGGCTACTTGGCTGTATACCAATGGAAACGCGCAACAAAAACGGCCCAAAGTAGTACATAGTACTAGTACATAGTACGGGCTGAAATACGCCAAGGTGTGAACCAGACCCATTGAATACAATGGGATTTAGATGTTTGAGCGTTTTGTAGAGCGTTCGTCGAGCGTAGAACGCGCTACAAAACGTTCAGGTGTGAACGAGGGCTAAGTCCAGATGGGGAAATTCAGGCAGGACTAGTAACACTGCTTAGGCTTTAGCAGAGAAAAATAAATAAATTTAGGAGCTCACGTGATGAAGTTATTTTTATGTGTGAGGATTGTCAACTCCTTTAGTAAATCAACCCAAGCCTGCAAAATCAGTTCCCTAAATTGAAAATTGAACAGGTGGCACCCCCGGTTTTCATATCTCTAGTGCTGATTAGAAAGACAATGAGGGATCTGAGGAATAGGTATAACAAATACTTTCCTTTTATATTATCTTTTTCAATTTTAATTAAAATTCTCTTGTCTTTGTTTTATAACCACAGTGATATGAGCGGCCTGGCTTTGTGGTGCAGGAATGTTCCTGTATCTGCCCCCAAACCAACACCAAAACCTCGAAATGTTACGTCGGGCGTAAGAGGACTTTCTCTAGACAGCAGCAGTTCGGCTCAGCCAGCGTAAGTGTCTTGGATATAGAGAGACCCCTGGAGGTGTCAGGAGAGCAGGATAGATAGGGTGCACACCTGCACCCCCCCCTGATCTTCCAATGCCCTGCATGGTCCAGGGTCTGTAGCCAGATTTCTTTTATCTCTAACATTCAACTAAAGTGATGCAAGCAGTGTTGTTTCTGAAGTTGCTAATTCCCTGGCTGTTATTCTATGGATCAGCTTTATTGTAAGCCACTGATCTGACAAGTAAGAGGCTCCCCTGGACTTCTGTCATGTGACACATTATGGAAGCTCTTCTAAGCTCTGAATTCTATTGACAGCAGAGTGATGAGAAGCTACTGCTCCATTGGGGGTCAGTCATGGTTTCAGGGCCCGGGGCACCCGGCAGAAGATGGATGCAAATAATGCCACACAGAAGCTGGATGCAAATAATTACTTTGCATTTTCACTTGGATGTATAAGATGTTTTACATAAATATTCTTAGTGTTCTATGGCAAACCGCAAACTGCTTGAAAATATGGATATAGTTTTGTTTGATATAAATACAGAGCTACATTTGAGATATCAATCTACAGGAGTCAAATTTGGTGAAGTGTGAACCTGTATGTGAAACATATACTGCCTGGCCAAAAAGAAAAATCACTACCTGGATTTTGGGCACTGTTATGATCTGGGGTTGCTTTAGTTGGTCAGGTCTAGGTTCAGCAACGTTATGTCCTCCAAAAATTAGGTCAGCTGCCGACCTGAATATACTAAATGACCAGGTTTTTCCATCAATGGATTTTTTCTTCCGTGATGGCACATTGGGCATATTCCAAGATGTCAATGCCAGGATTCATTGGGCTCAGATTGTGAGAGTGGTTCAGGGAGCATGAGACATCATTGTCACACATGTATTGGCCATCACCGAGTCCAGGACTTAACCCTATTGGATATCTTTGGGATGTGCTGGAGAAGACTTTACACAGAGGTCCAGCTCTCCCATCATCACTACAAGATTTTGCTGAAAAATTAATGCAGTTCGGGATGGAAATAAATGTTGTGACATTGCATAAGCTTATCGAAAGGATGCCACAGCGACTACGTACTGTATTTAAAGCTAAAGGAGGTCCAACGAAATATTCAAGTGTGTGATTTGGTTTTTTTTTGGCCAGGCAGTGGAGATCTCCTATGAGATTATTGGACAGAAACTTATTTTTAGACTTTATTGACTTAAACCATGAAAATGATGCTGTTTATGTTTAGCAGTCTGTAAATGGAAGCTCTCAAGCCGTTAACTTGTAGCTGCCCATGTCCTGGCTATACAATTGACACCACTGTTGGCTAATTGTCTATTTTTCTAACTGCAGCACACAAGAAGCCCCTGTTCCAAAACTGAGTCGAGCATCTTCCATCTCTGAGCATCCTATATATGAGTCTAATGTTTATGGAGTATCTGGTAAGTTGTCAGTATAATGTCAATTAATGGTGTTGTCAAACAGTAGCCTCCAACCATTAGCTTGGGGTCACATTTGGCTATGGACTGCCTTTGATGTGTTTCTTGAAAATTAAAGGAAAGAGAAGAAACAACCATGAATATAGTGTATTATAAAAGGCTGAATGATTGGGGTGAGAATTGGATGTTAATCTCATGTCTTTAAAGTATTTGTTTTAGTTTTGAATGGGTGGGTGGGTAGACCAAGAACCAGACAACCCAGATCCTCTGCCAAGGTTTTAGTGCTGTTGCAGTCCCCATTGGGAAGATAAGCTCCTCTGTTTGTACCTGGTAACCATTATTGTCGAAAAAGAAAGTGAGGGGAACCCCAGAATTTTAGAGTCCTCCCCAGATCAATGGGGACACCAAGTCCTTGGACAACTGTCTAAGGACTGGTGGCAGGCACTACTACCGTCCTCTGAAAAGTGATCCGCAATTAATCGGCTTTTTTGGGTGGTAGATCAGTGACTGCCTGGTGTTCAGGAGGTGATACTGCCGCCTCCTGAATGTCGAGGTCTTTTTTAAATTATTTTTATCCCAAGGGTATTTTTAATTGAACTACTGCGGCATGGTTCCATTTACTTCTATGGTTGAGAGGTCATGATATATAAATTATGCCACAGCACGCTACTGTCTGGCCACAATGCTAACATTGCAGCTGGTGGCTGCAGAGCAGGACAACCGCAGATCAACTGCCTGATTTTAACCTCAGCCGCCCATCTAAGCAAGTCCTTAGAGGGGAATTACCCTCATTTCCGGAGATTTTCCCTAACTTTCCTGTTGCATCTCTGGGACAGGAACTTTTGACTGTAGATGCCCTTTAACCTTTTCATGACCAACTAGGTTATTGATGCCTAGTTACCCAGGGCAAATTTAGCAATATATACATAATGTACACATATGTTCCTAAAACCTGATACTGTAAATGTTGTTTTATTTCTTAATCAAATCACGCTACTCTCTTCCAGCTATTGATGGAATTCCATTCACAATCCACCCAATGTTCGAAAGCAGGCTTGCAGAGCCATCTGTGAGTATCATGTAAAACATTGCACCAATTATTTCATTACTTCCTCTGATACCAAATTATGAACTGATTCACTAGTGCATCATTATTGTTTGCTCAGTTTTTACTGCAAAACTATAGCGCTGGATCTTAAAGACCTAACTTACATTTTCATGTAGTACAGGGTAGGCAAGCAAGGGGCTGCTAGGACACTAGCTTGGGTTTGGGTCGAACTCGAGGTCAACTTTAACCCAAAGCCCATCCCTACTTATAGCCAGAGGATAAGTAGTATGATAGCCATTATAAATTATATCCATCAATGTGTTCATATCGTTTCTCCTACTAGATTATCTCATCTAACTTACATGACCTTCGAATCAAAACCCTGGCTGACATTGAAAATGAGGTAAGCTCGGTTAATAGTTTGCATCGGTGCTCAGTTACATGGGAGATTTTTTTTTTTTTTTTTTTTTTAGTAGGAGGGGATGTTAGCCATTGCCACATTTTCAACACCATTGCTAATCAATTAAATGTCAGCAGGGCTTAATTTCATGCTATAAGTTAACTAATCTCATATGGACAACATGGCGGCTAAGCAGTTAAATCGTATCTAAACCTAAAAACAAAAATATATATTGCAGCCTACTAGTCCTTGGATGTGGCAGCTGCATTAGTTTTCCTTTTCCAAGCTATGAACATTTTCAGCAAATACAGAAAATACCTGCTGATCCTGCCAGACATTCAGCATCCTTGTCACTTCCTATGAGCTTAAAAGAAAGGTGGGGGCTGAAGGTTCCATCTAATGATGCTGCCATGAATGTCCTTGTTTCAGCACTTTTTGTTAGAGGCAACACTCTGTCCCTGTCTCCTAGTTGTTCTCCTGCGTTGGCACCCTGTCCCTTGCACTCCTATTGGAGACTATAAACAGTCACGCCAATGTCCATTGCACAGGCATGTTCTGCCATTGCTAGGAAGCCTCCCCTGATTGCATGTCACTGGAGCAAGTGCACATAGAAGTGGCTGCAACAAGGTCTGGAGAAGGCCAGCAGCACTGAGATGCAATACAGGATAAGAAAAGTGGAAAACAGTATTTTCTAAGGCAAGAATTATGTGTATGATACATGGCAAACAAAATGTGATCCAGTGGTGGTTTGCATCTGTTTTCATTAAATGGCTCTAGAATGGTGGTGGTGGTGGAGGAGGTGGTTAGCAGATAACTGTAGAAAAGGTAGATTTATTCTTTTAGATCACTGGGAGTCAGTTTTCTTTAAAAAAAAATATTTTTCTGGCTTTGGAATCCTAGTGCATTATTGCTGTTTGTTTATTGCCAAGGTGGAGTGACTGGAGTAACCAGGCCAGCCAGTACAAACACACTAGATCAGGAATAGGTGTTTTGGTGCTCCTGTAAAACCAAGGTTGCATGCTGATCTCTACACTCCTTATAAGTTAGAGAAGTTCTAACATCCAGTATATTTCTTTGTCTTTCAGTACAACTATGGATTTGTGGTGGAACGTACTGCATGCGCTAGATGATGCTGAAAGAAAAACTCATATTGATGGACCCCGCAGTAGCCAAATGGCAAATACTAGATATATAGTTACTCGCTTTTCAGTACAGTTGCTCTACAATGCATGGGCCACCTTTTTATCGGCAACTCTGAGTTGTGTCCTATTTGCATCAATGTGCCGAGAGGAGTGCACTCCTCTGACCTTTGACTGCACTCCTCTGACCTTTATAAATGCACACAGGATTTATGGGCAACTCTACATAATATATTCATAAAATGGGCTTTAGTTATGTTCCAGTTGGATGTTTTTTTAGTATATTAGAAGAATAGATGTTTAAAGAGACACTGTCACCTTGCCCATTTAGGGCATGTTGACAATTGCTTTGTAAAATGCCACCAGCCCCTCACTCTCCAGGTGCCTTCTACCATATAATCTGGGCCTGCCCTGGAATTCAAAATTATTGGCAACAATTAGTTGAAGTCCTCCATGATGTTATGGGTTCCCCTGTAACTCTAAACCCCCAAAACATTTTTGTTAGGTATATTTCCTGTCTCTGACACCGACAATTACACTGATACCGTCCTATACGAAACCTTGTATATGGCTACGAAAATTATAGCAAAACTATAGATACAGGCCCTACAGCCCACTGTTGCCCAATGGCGACACAATGTTAATGCCTCCTTACCTTACAAATAGTTTAGTGTACAAACGCAGGGAATGCCGCACTAAATGCCACAAAATTCAGGACAGATGGACATCCAGACCTTCCTCGTGTAACCCATTAACAGGAGACACTTGGTTGAATCTCATTATTTACAGCAATTATTTTACCAATATAAAGCCCTAGCCATTGTAGTACATTATTAAGATAATGAGCAGTAATCATTCAGGATTATTGTTTATGCCTTTCTTTGTCATAGAGTTAGGCAACTGAAATAGACACGTGGTCTGTGGCTTTCATTGACTGACATTGACACAATATATACTACTTTATAAAAAAAAACATAATTTGTAACAGGTTGGCTCTCATGCAATCTTGATTGTATCTCCTTCTCGGTAACACAAATGTGTGTTGGCATCATCAAAAAAGACAGTTTTGAACGAAACCCATGCCACCCCCTCCCACCCCCCTCCCAGGAAACTCCGGGTACTACCTTAGCAATCCCTGTCTTGCTGTTCCTGTCTGCTTTGCAGGCGGCACTGTGACGCAAAGGGGAGTGGTATCTTTACTCCGCCACTCACGTGACAGTGATCAGGACTAGTTATCAGCTACTACACCAGAGTAGTGTCAATGAAAGGGACCGGATATTGTCGTAGTGAATGGTGGCATTGTCTCTTTAAAACCAAGGCGGTATAATGCGTAGTAATATTTTTCATGGACCAATAATTTCCTGTCATTTGTTACCTCATTAATGGGGGTTATAATGGTGATTTCTTTCTAGTCCTTTGAGGGACACAGGAAGTCCTACAGGGTTATTCACAAAAGGGTGAAGAGTTTGGAGAAGGCGGGAGAAGTGAACAATCTAGGACAACATAGCTGATTTGGAAACATTCTCCAATTCAGCTCACTTTCCAGTTCAGCTATTTTGTCCTAGATTGTTCACATCTCCTGCCTTCTCCACACTCTTCACCCTTTAGTGAATAACCCTGCTAATCTTCAGGTTATACTGCCACCTTTTGGAGGACTGGACACTGGTAAACAAAAATGTACTCCAGCCCACGGTAATTCTTCTTAATTCCAGCATGCCTCAGTTTTTGCTAGTGTCCTAGGAGGATGGACGTCATTTTTGAGCAGGAAATAACGTCCATCCTCCTAGGACACTAAACCTTTGGTTGATTTCTAGCATTTTTTTCCTTCTTCCATCAAGATTCTTCTCTACACTGCTGGTGTTTCCCATCGACTCACAGTGGCCCTTAACCTGGCTTTTGCACCATAAAATGAATAGGACACATTTCAGAAAATATACCCAGTCAACGTGGCTGATGCACTCTACAGAACAACTGTACCTATAAGCATACAGATAGAAATGTCAAGATTCACGTAGATATCTATTTTAGAGCTACTAAATACTTGTCTTCTTTAGAGCTACATAAATCATTGTCTCATAATTCCCCCTGTCCCCCACACACAATGCAAATGTATATTATATTTCACGTATGGAAGAGTTCCCCGGGAAATTCTATTGCAGGATTCCACAAGGTGTCTTTCCCATGTAATAATTACGTCTGTTAGTCCAGTCATCTTGCACTAAAGCATATCAATGTACATTTGGTTTAATTTATATGTTTTTTTTGTGCATTTCATCTGATTTTCATTGGAATGCTGACCATACACTTTACAAGTTTTCTCATTCAGCCCTGTGAGCTGAGTACTTGGGCCAAAACATAAATACTTTATTTATTAGGGAAGGTTAATTTGTCTTAGAAGAATTTATTACTCTCAAAATTCGTTACTACTTTAAACAATTGCAGGTAAAAACGCTGAGAAAAAATATTTTAAATACTATTTTCTTCCATTATTTTTTTTAAATTAATTTGCAATCTGCCTTTGAACAATTGACTAGTCAGTTACCTAGCACAGGCTCTCCACCCCTCACTTCCCTACGTAATCTTTCATGTAGCACCCAGGGGAGGAACAAAGGAGAATACTATAGAGTAGAGATGCACCAATACCAGTATTGGTAATAGTGCTGATACTGAGCATGAGTACTCGTACTTGTGAAAATGCCCTGATACTAAAAACCGATACCGTGACCTTAAATTTTCAAACTGAAGCAGCTGCCTTAGGTCCCGTGCTTGCTGGGGACCTCGTGGCAACCTTATTGGGAACCACGCAGGGCCTGTTTACAGCACTGGCCCACCCATCTCCCCCACCTTAGACCCTCCACACCCTTCCCGAGACCCTCCACTGGAAACATCAGATGAGCACCCCAAAGCAGCACAGAGTATGTAGCAACATATTGCATTGCTGCATAATGTATTGCTGAGATTTGTAGTCCCCTATAGCCGGTGCCATTCTGCATTGCTCCATAATGCATTGCTAGGAATTGTAGTCCTCTATAGCTGATGGAATTATTCTGCATTGCTGTATAGTGTATTGCTGGGGATTGTAGACCTCTATAGCTGATGGTATTATTCTGCATTGCGTGTACTTGAGGAAACGTAGCTGTACTCATACTCGGCCTAGAAAAATGGTATCGGTGCATCCCTACTATAGAGTGTCACTTGAGTGACAGCTCTGAGTCTGCCAGGGCTGCTGACATCACATCCAAGATAGCGGCCCCCAGCAGCCGGGGCAGGCTTTCACAAGTAAACTCTTATGGAAAGATTTTTGTTGGTCTGGCAACAGAGTCCCTTTAGTTATCCACATGCACTGTTGTACGTTTTTCATAAATAAGAACTCTATGAATCTCCAACAACCCCTTATTTATTGTATGTATGCATTCACTATAACACCATTATCTGCACTCCTTAAAAGTAATAGACCATCATCCTCTGTACACCACCCTGGAAGTCATCTTACACTGGGAGTCAGAAGGGCGAGAGCAATGCACACAAAATCCTGCTGCAAGGAACTGATGAATCATTGTTAGACCTGTGCCTTCACCAAATATATTTTTCTAAACCAATTAGCAGTGTTTGTGTTTTTGTTTGTTTTTTGTTTGTAACCAACCTTCCTCCTGCTCGTTATTGCTTTGATTTGCTTAATCTTTGTGGTCTAAGCCTGTAGTGAAGCCATAACATTATAACCACCCACCTAATATTGAGTAGGTCCCCCATTTGCTGGCAAAACAGCCCTGACCCATCGAGGCATGGACTCCACTAGGCCTCTGAAGGTATGCTTGGGGTGTACTTGGTCAGCAACAATGTTTAGGTAGGTAGTAAGTAACATCCACATGAATGGCAGGACCCAAAGTTTCCCAACAGAACATTGCCCAAAGCATCACACTACCTCCGCCGGCTTGCTTTCTTCCCATAGCACATCCTGCTGACATCTCTTCCCCAGGTAAGTCACACACATGCACCCGGCCATTCATATGATGTAAACGAATATATGATTCATCCAGATCCGGCCACCTTCTATTGCTTTGTGGTCCAGTCCTGATGCTCGCGTGCCCATGGCAGGCATTTTTGGTAGTGGACAGGGGTCAGCATGGGCACCCTGACCGGTCTGCGGGCGAGCTACCCCATACCCAACAAAGTGCGATGCACTGTGTTCAGACACCTTTCTATCGGAACCAGCATTCGCTTTTTCAGCAATTTGAGCTACAGTAGCTCCTCTATTGGATCAGACTACACAGGCCAGCCTTCGTTCCCATGTGTATCAATGACCCTTGGCCACCCATGACCCTGTGGCCAGTTCACCGGTTTACCTTCCTTGGACCACTCTTTGTAGGCCCTGGCAACTGCAGACTGGGAGCATCCCACAAGAGCTGCAGTTTTGGAGTTGCTCTGACCCAGGCGTCTAGCCGTCAAAGCCGCTCAGATCCTTATACTTGCCCATTTGTTCTGGGACAAAATGTTCACTCGTTGCCTAATATATCCCGCCCCACTTCCAGGTGTCATTGTAACGGGATACTGGGATGGTTCTTCACTTCACCTCTTAGTGGTCACAGTGTTATGGCTGATTGGTGTATATTGTCTATATACAGTATATATCCATTGTGAGACAGCAAGCCACAGTCATTAAAAGGAGGCAATATGTAGCCTTTAAATGGAGTAGATAGATGGCATGTCACTTTGCCCAGTCAATCCAAAGTGACAGGTACTCTAAAAAGCCCCCATCCCCCTCTCCCCTGCACTGAAACTGCATGATCACCTGCCAAAGCCCAAAGTAGAATGCCCTGTGTAAAGTTCTCCATACAACCTTAAGTTTTGTCTTGTTTAGCCTACAGGCAACTGGGTGTGGATGGATGAATCTCCCTGCTGTCATTTGTATTCTTACAGCTGGTGCCCATGGTTATCAATGCATGAACAGTGGCTGTAACTGATTGGCTGCAGTCGTTGTTAGGGTGACATTTTTCCACC